AACCATTAATTCAATACCTTTGTTTTGACTCACACTTTTTGAAACTTCACCATTTTGTAACTGCAGGAATTAATATTGTCGAGACAAATTCAACCTCATTATAGGTCTCTATGAAGCATCCGAATGCTGTGATGAGTTGTAATGTTGATCTCGAAAAGCTAATCACGGATTCCAACAGGTGAGGGTGGATGGGTTGTGCGTGATTATGTGGATTTCGTTTTTCGAAGTTGCCCTTCATCCCTTTCATTTTTCGAGATACCGAAGAGATGAGGCTTAGTCATGTGAAACAGGAAAATTTCTCAGATTTCCCCAGTTTTTTCGAAACTTCCCGAAAAATTCCTGGTTTCTCCCCTCAAATTTTGCTGTCGAGCAGGGGGGGTCGTCAGGATTTGACTATCGTTCTCAACTCCAGCTCAGAAATAGTAGTTGTATAGGATCTTTGGTTGTCCCTCTCCCAATAACGACAAAATACGACTTCTCCCTCCCCTCCCCTCCCCCCCCCCGTTGTGATCATCACAACGATGGCGTGCCCTGTCATGAGTGCTCACGTTGGACTGCATTTGCATTTCAAAAATTCGATCTGTGGTTTGAAGACCTCTATAGCTTTCAGTTCGCTGCACTGGAAATGAGAGTAATAATGGCCACACAGAGGTTAATGCAGGAGGCTCGCGCGTCCGCCACGACGAAGACGCAAGCGTCGGCGAGTTTAACGAAGCCAGGGCCCATCGTGACTATAAAAAAAGTTGGTCATTCAAGAAAGTCCCCCACCCCATCGCTCCCTTCCGTGCGATCACCTTCGACTAGAAGCTCCAACTTCATCTACCTCCTCACCTCCGATTTCCCACAGAAACTCGTAAATCATGGAGCAACACAGTGTAAAAAACTTATTGTTCTACCGCTCCCACATCCTGTCATCAAAACCAAGCCTCAGGAAACGAACAGAGCCCTTTCTGATGGCTGAGAGTCTAGTCAGGAGTACCCAATGATGATGTGTCTGACTGCAGTCATATGGCAATAGCAGCGTTTGGGGAGACGTTAGGTATTGCGCATGCCGAATGTTTAGATCTAGTGATACCCAGCTATACCAGTTGATTTATGCGCCTCTGTCCAGCTACTATATAGGGGGAGGCAAATTTGCTTCTTTTCTTGAAATGTGCAAATGGACAGCTACAAATGGACTTACACAGAAAGCCTTATCCATTCATGTTCCAGATCGATTGCCACACTTGCTATTACTACTCTACTGAAAACAGGTGCAGAGAGCAGCGTTGAACGACTGATGAAGCAGATCAGCTCATTCGTGTCGGAAATTAGTGATGAATTCAAGGTGGGTGCATAGAAAATTAGTGTGCTTATATTCCGAATTTTGGCTTTTGATCTAGTCCAGATTTCACCGTGAGCGTATTTGTAAATCATGTATGCTTTAGATCGTAGTTGTCGATGCAATTCGCTCACTGTGTAGCCGTTATCCGCGAAAACATGCGGTGATGATGCCATTTTTGGCTAACATGCTAAGGTACGTCTCGTAAAAAATAGCGGAGCTTCAAGTAAAAAATCTTATTGATTGATGGCTTTAAGAAATGATGGTGGCTACGAATACAAAAAAGCGATCGTGGAAACGATTATTGCCATCGTCGAGGAGAATCCTGATGCGAAAACAGCGGGTCAGTTTACCTACGAGACTGATAGAAAGGAGAAATGTTGTTTGGGAGAAATGTCCGCTGAAAATGTTTTCTCATTGAATTGCCGTTATGTAAGCTCTTTTTTGCCTCGTAACTGATGAGATCGTTTCAGGTCTCGCTCATCTTTGCGAGTTTATCGAAGACTGTGAACACGATAGCCTGGCTACACGTGTATTGCATTTGCTGGGCAGAGAGGCACCGAAAACACCAAATCCGTCAAGCTACATTCGATTCATCTATAACCGCGTCATTTTGGAAAGTACCAAGGTACTTTTCCGTCGTTGTCTTTCTACTGTCGCGAAGTGTGACTTGAAAATGATTGTTTCGAAGAAGTTCGGCTAACTGGGCTAGATTTAAGATTATGGCTTTCATCAGCAAGCGCTGTTCAGGTCCGTGCAGCAGCCGTAACAGCTCTCGCGAAATTTGGTGCCCAATGCGTTGAACTGCGCCCATCAATTCAGGTGCTGCTGAAAAGATGTCTGCTTGACAGCGATGATGAGGTGAATCGAATAGGTTTGTCCTTTTTGATAGTTCTGGGATGATAAGCGTCAGTTTCAGGTTCGTGATCGTGCCACTTTCTACCTAGCTTTACTGGCTGAATCTGCTGTACCGGTCATCAACAGCTTTGTACTGGATAGCCTTCAGGTTGTGGGCCATTCTTTATCGATCTCTTACTGTGAATCGTCCAAGAACTTAGTTTTTTTTTCATCTTTTCAGGTACTCCCATCAACATTGGAGCGTTGCCTTTTCGAATACGTTCGTGGAGATTCCTTCAACACTCCATTCGACCTTCGTGTAGTACCAGTGACAAGCCAGCCGCTTTCGCAGCCTGAGAAGCGTGCTCCTGTTCTTGCTGATGTTCCAGTGGAGAAGCCAGTTGTTGTGAAGAAAGGAGCCCTATGCAGGTATTGCTCATTCACAAGTAGAGGTATCTGACTCCAATACTATTTCTTTCAGAACAACTGGCCCAAATTCCTGAGTTCGCCAGCCTTGGTCCGCTTTTCCATTCTTCACCTCGTGTTGCTCTCACTGACGACGTGACCGAGTATACCGTCCATGCTATCAAACATATCTTCACCAACCATGTTGTGATTCAGGTTAATTTTTTTAGAGTTGCTTGTCCTAATACCCTTGAAGCTGGCTGGGGTTTTGATTGCAACTTTGCTAACTCAGAAGTAATTCATAGTATCATTTGTTTAGCTTGACTGCAAGAATACATTGAACGATCAGCTGCTCGAGAATGTATTTGTTGATCTGGAAGACGGTGAAGGAGAATGGTCTACAGAACATGTGATCCCGATTGAGAGTCTACCGTATAATGAAACCAAGTCTACTTACGTGCTAATGGAGTTCCCAGAATCAGGTATCGCTTTTGTCACGTTCTTTGTAGTACTTTCACAACACATGTCCGAAATATCCCCTTTTCAGAATTTCATCCTCCTTGTACCATCCCATCCCCAATCCTAAATACCTAGTATTTTTAAAATTTCCCAACTTACGACCATCACACAGCTTGTCCGCGTTTTGCAATAAATTCGTTTTTTCCCCGAGAAATATATTTCGAGCAGAGCGACATAATGCAGTTGAAACTGGAAAAACTGGGAACGGTGTACCGACAAGATTTTTTTGGGGGCAACTATGATCACCCTTCCAGCGACCAAATACGGCTCCCTCGCTGGAGATCCTTACCGCACGACGTGCCGTGCCGCATGCTTTCGTTGCTACTGCCCTATTGAGAGGGCATGTT